ACGGTTTGCAATGATCTGTTGACTTTGAAATGAACCGATTAAGGGCTGCCAGTCGATCAGTTAAAGCTTGGACACCTTTGAGAGATGTCGGAGGGGCTAGGTCAAGTATGGCTTGAATCTTGGCGGGATTGGCTTCGATCCCTCTTTGACTCACCATGTATCCTAGAAACTTCCCTGATCCAACTCCGAAAGTACACTTCTTGGGGTTAAGCACCATGGAATATTCTCGGAGTATATCGAAGACTTCAGAGAGATGAGCGATATGGTCAGGGGCCTGTTCCGACTTCACTAACATGTCGTCTACATAAACTTCCATGGTGTGGCCAATTAAGCGAGCAAACATTTTATTGACCAATCTTTGATATGTGGCCCCTGCATTCTTCAATCCGAAAGTCATCATAACATAGCAATAAAGGCCTCTGGCTGAATAGAACGAGGTATGTTCAGCGTCATCTGGGTGCATGGGAATCTGATTATAGCCTGAATAGGCATCCAGAAAACTCATAAGTTGGTGTCCCGACGTAGCATCTACCATGTAATCGATGTGTGGAATGGGGTAGCTATCTTTCGGGCACGCTTGATTCAAGTCTGAAAAATCTATACAGAGACGCCAAAGACCGGTGGCTTTCTTAACCAAAACAGGGTTCTATATCCACGTCGGGTACTTGGCTTCCTTGACAAATTTATTATCTATGAGCTTATTTACTTCTTCTTCAAGGGCCTTCTGGCGATCTGGGCCGAATTTCTGACGTTTCTGAATAACCGGCTTGACAGTCTTGTCCAAATTGAGACGATGGCATGCCTTCTGTGGGTCGATCCCTTTCATGTCTTCATGCTTCCAAGCGAATACGTCAGTATTTGACTGGAGGAATTGAATCAAATTTGACCGGATGGGTTCTTGCAGATTGGCCCCAATACGCAGCGATTTCTGTTGATCTGACCCGTCCACGTAAATGATCTCAATATCTTCAACAGGTTCTGCTCGGACATGATGATTTCCATCTTTAAACTGCATCCTTGGGTCTATATCCTCATGCATTTCTATGTCTTTTTCATGAGAAGATTGTTCTTGATCGAGGATTTCAGTTGATGTTTCAGGCAAGACCGACGTCATAGGGACGTCGGTATCGACAGGCGGCAAGTTAATCTTTGCTTGAGGCATGTCGGTATCCGAGGTGAACTGATTGGTTTTTTCAACACGAGGAATTGAATCACTCGGCTTGACAAAGCTATTAAGATCTTGTTCTTCAATCATATGTGATGGGTCTGCTCTCAGATCTGGAACGGTTTGGTGAGAAAACGTCCGGATC